ATGCCTTAAAATTTGTGGGTTTGCAAGGAATGCAGAGAGTGCTCTCTTGCTGGTTATTTCCACAGCCTACCATGCTAACAGTTAATTTTATAGGTAATTGGTGTTTTAAGCTCTAGGTTAAAATAAAGGAGATTCCACAACTGAGGAACCTGTGGGGCTGAAGACAACCCATATAGATAGTGGCATATTATTTAAAACAATATGGCTAACTAAAAAGTAGTACTGAAAGAGCCTAGAACACCAAACACAGATTTAGAAACCTAACCCAAAAACCTAACAAAGCCAAGGATCTGGGAGGAGCAAAAGAGAAGGAAAATATATTAACTAGTGTCCCTTCCAGAAAAACTACATTGAGCTTGTAGCCTAGAAAGGCTACATTGAGCTGTAGCTTTTGGATCTGGTACTGGTGTTATTCTAGATCTGTGCTTACATCCAGCTTACTCGGAGAAGAGGCTCCAGTAAGAGTTGAAAGTGTGAGTACATGATGACAGCCCTTGGTAAGGTCCTGGTGTGTGATGGCTCCTGCATTCTTGCTAAAGGTCTTAAGATTCTCCCAGAGTTTGCAAATGGATATGCCAGCACTGAGGAGCAGCTACAGTATAATCATGCTTATTCCAGCAATGAAGATCATCTCACCAGGTCTGAAACACCACCAGGTGCTGATTTCACTCTGTGGCTTTTATAGGGTTTTTAATGTATCCCTATGGTAACACAGTGGTAGTATCACTAGTTTTAGTCCATTTGGCTTTTAAGAGACATAATGGTGTAACTGCTAATAAGTCTCGTGATAATTGCAGGTGGTTCTACAGTACCTAGTTGGTTGATTTTGTTTCCCTTTCTCAGCAATACCTGCAGTTGACATAAGAGTTACTGTTAATTTGTTTGTTAATTTGTTAATTCACAGATCATATAAAATATATCCAGTGATGATAATTGGTCATTAGTAAATGGGCAAAGTGAACCCACAGTTTGCAGTGATCAGATCATGGAGTGAAAACAAATCTCATAATTTTTATAGTTATTTTGCCAGTATATTTGCAGATTACTTCTTAATGCAATTTTTCAGTCAGTATATGCCAACTGAGACTTTCCTCTGCCCATCCCCTGGGTCAATAGGCAGTTAAGAGAAATTTATCATGTTTTTGCTCCATTGGCTTGGCATAAAGGTCTTGTGCTGAGTTGAGACTGCAACCCCAGATATTTGGAAATTCCTGAGTTACTTGGAGACTCATCTGTGTTTCAGGGAATTTATCAAAGCAAACATGAAGTTTTCTGAAGAGGGAAAACATAACTGACATGAATTCAGAGTAGCAAGTAGAGTTTTTAAGACAGACATCCTGCGTTAGGAAAGGTTTACTGGTTTCTCCCTGGGCAGGATTTAGGAAATGCAGCTTGAGGCCCTAATTGTTGATTTCTAAAACCAACAAACCAAAAAACACCCTGCTTCACAAAATTGTTGTCTGCTTTAAGATGAACTCCAGTTGAGAAATCGTGTTCTATAGTGTGTTCTTTATAGAAAGCAAAGCATGTGAATGTGTATGTACATAATACATACAAACATGATGCCTGGAATGGCAGTATTATCCATCTAATGTTCATACATAATCATCCTCATCCTAACCAGTTCAAGGAATCTTACTGTTTATGCAGTAATTTTCACAACACGAGGAGACCTTCTTTGTAGGAAAAGCCCTTTGGTTATGTTGTTTACTTTAGAGTAATCTAAAGATCAAGCAACAGTTTTAAATACAGTTTCTAAGGAACACAACTGGATTTACAGTTATCGCTGATCTTATAAAGCAAAACTTTATAGTTAAGATGCCACCTGGGAACAAAGATCATCCTAAAAGCATGAAAAATACAGATTTACATAAATTTACCTGTGTTATGTTTTGTTAAAATATATGTTTCACACTTCTTTATTTTAAATGGAACTCAAAAAGAGAACACACAAAATCTGGAGGCAGTGGAAACACCTGTGCACCAAGGTACAATTAACATTAACAATCCTCAAAAATATAACATTGAAAGCAGTGTATACATAAAGAAAGAATTAAGTCATATAGCTACACACTTGTGCGTTTAACCGAAAGAAGTACAGAAAATGAATTGTCTAAACATGCATAATCCCTTGTTTGAGATCTGGCAACAAAAGGGAAAAATGCTTATAAGCACAAGTGATACATCATAAGAATGCTTTACAAGTAATTTACCACACAGTTTAATATCTACACAATCTCTTTAATAAATGGAATTTCCACTGGTTATTTACAGATTTCACTACTGTTGTAATCTCATCCAATCTTTCTAAGACTCTCTGCTTATGTAAATAAGGATTAGTTGGCAAAGTTAATTATCATAAAAGAAAAATTACTGTTAAAGTTGGCATGAAATTGGTGTCTACAGAATATCTGTTTGCTGCCTTTTGCTTGCAGGTGCTGAGGCAGTTTTGATAAGGACCGTGGATATTCTCAAAAGGTCTTTTCTGAAGGTTGCTGCACATGGTAGAGAGACCCAAACTAACTTTGGAAGTGTAATACTGGGTATCAGAGGAGAGCTAATTGCAGTAGCGTAAAATAATTTACATTTCCAGGGAAAGTGTAATAATTGAACAAAATAAGGTGTCCAGTTCAACACAATTTTCCCATATCACACAGGTTATCTCATCTATTCCATGTGGACAACTTTGGTTCTCTAGGCATTTTCCCCTTAATCATGAAGATGTCAGAGTGCTTAAGAGTTGCTATTGATTTCAATGGGGAACCTGAGAAATGTCCTTATGTGGTTGTCAGGAGGGCACTAAACAAGCCTCTCAGATGTATGTGATTAAAAGAGACACAACTAGACTTTGTGAAAAGCATCTTCTATGAGTCGTTAGAAGGATTAGAAATATATTTCAATCAAAAAAATTATGTGATTAATCTGTATTTTAGATGTGAAATCTATTTAAACCTGGTATAATTAAAATAGATTTTTTTAAAATTCTTTGTGAACGTATTTGAAAAATCATGTTTGCAAAGTGTATATACCAGCAGCTCTGGTATAGACAGAGAATTGGTGAACAGCTCTTTAGATAGTGATTCAATTTATACAGTAAAAGATAAACCCTGTTAAATACATCCCTCTTGATGGGTGTGTGTGTTTAACCTTCAAAGGTGAAGATTCCTCAGGGAATCCATTCCAGTGCTGTATTATCCTTGCTACTAGCTTTCCGAAAAGTTAACATGATTCTTCCTTGCTATAATTTAAGCTTGTTATTTTTCCTGGTACCCTCCACTCACATAAAGTGCAAAATGATTCATTTTCTCATTCCAGAGTTATACATGTATCAAAAGACTGCTACCCTCTTCCCAAGACAGCTTTTTCTTCTTCAGGTTAAACTTTTAACAGTCGTTTTAATCTTTCCTTATATAACATGTCTTCCCGTACTCCAGTTTCCATCACTGCTTCTTTAAACTCTGCTTAGCGACCTACATCTTTAGGATAATATGTGGAAAGTCTTGTGCAAAACTAGGAGAAGTGCTTCAGTTGAAACAACGCTAGTTCTAAGTGAAGTGGGAGGATTAAATCGTGCCCTGCTGAGACCATCCTCTTACCCTCCAGTTTGCAGGAACTCTCTGGGAGAAGGATTCTCTGGATTCATACACAGTAAACAGAGTCAAGAATCTGGAATTATTTCATGTCCCTTGAAATGTAAAAGGAATTGTGTCATACTGCCTTAGTGTCCTTTTTTGGTGGATTACTTGATGTGGAGTGAGTGCCATCTGGAGGTTAGGAAACATGGAGCTCTGTATGCTTTCATGCTGAAAAACAAAATCCCTGTGCTTTATAAATGAGACATTCTTACATGAGTAGGAGCCTGAGCCTGACAGATACTGGACATCCACCACTCAGTGTAGAGTTTGTGACCCATAGAGAGACTTGCAGCTGCTCAGTACATCTCAGAGTAAGGCATGCAAGTCTAATGACTCTCAGTATTATGCAATGTCCAATAAATATGTAACCTCTGAGTGGACTGGGCAGTTTTTCAAGAAGCTCCTGGACAGCACAGGGACAAGGAAAGTCTTGATCTGCTCTCTACTCTCCCACTTTCAGATGTGTGAAAACAAGTGAGTTCCTGGTGCAGTTTTTTCTCACAGGAGAGAGCAGAAAGCTTTTTAGCTGAACGAGAATATGTCTGTTTTAAAAAGTAGGTTCCCATTTTTCAGTCCCAACTGAACTCAACTGTCCAATACAATTCATATCTGCACAGAGTGAAATCAGTCCTCCTCACTTGGGCTGATTGCATGATGTGATGTTCCTTCTTTAGATAACTTACCTGTCATCTCAAAAGCCTTAATCTTCCAGTTCTCACTGTGTTGAGGAAATTAGGAGAAGAACCACTCGGTATTGTGACTTCAGTGAGTGGGATTTGGCTCTTCTTTCTACACTGCCTTTTTTTTTCCAGAAACCACTTGGATCTGTGATCACAGTGCTCACAGTGCTCAGTCACCTCTTGTGCTTCTGAGCTGCCTTCTGCCACTGAAGTCTAATCATAAAAACAAAATAGCTTTAATTGCAAGGCATAAGTGCACTCATCTCCACCTGGGTCTGGTGAGAGATTGCAGCCTTTTGTGTCGAGGCCATTCTAATGGATTCTGTGTTGAGCTCCACCTAGAACTGAGCATGATCCTATGGAAGCTATGCACAGTTCAAAAGGCATGTATTGTGTGTACATTCTCCATGCTCTGCTGCTTACTGATATTTCCTTACAGAATAATAGGTCATAAAGTTTGAACCTCTGTAATAAAGAGCACTAGTGAACAGGCTTTTGGTATTGTGTCAATTTATCTTGATGATGGTTTCCCTGAGCAACCACAGATTTTAGGGACTATGAACCTGTTAAATTCAAGGTTGTCAGTCCTGAGGGTGTAAGACAGGTTGCTGAGCCAACATGCCTTCAGAGCAAAATGTGAAAGCCTGCTTCCTTGTCAGTGAGTTTTTATCAGCTAAACCAGAGAAAAGAGTAAGAGAAGGGAATTTGAGAACAGCAAATCTAAAGAAACAAAAATGAAAACTCATCTCCTACAGCATTGCTGGACAACATCTATTTTTGCCCTTGAAAGAAAATCCGTGCCAGACAGTAGTGTTGGTCTCTGTAGAAAAGATGGAGGAATTTTTTCATGCTGTGTCTAGAACCATTCAGCTTAACTAGAACCATTCAACTTGCTTTGTTACTGTTCTATTGTTACTGAAACACTAGGAAAGTTGGAGCTCACCCTCAAGTTTCCTCTTTCGTGCTCCACTGCTGAAGAAATAATCCATATACCAGAGCTCTGCCAAGCTCAGTGTTCATTTGACTGAGGATAGTTTGATTGGTCAAATTGGGAACTTTGCTTGAGAACACAGCTATGTAGTTTGGCAGTGGCTTGAGCTCCTTTCTCTTACCCTGGATAAAACAAAGGCCATTAATAAGTTTTCAAAATTATATCCATTGCTTCTTACAAAAATACAAGTTACTGAAATTATTTATAATATCAGCACTTTTACTTATAATACCAGCTGCTTTTGCTTTTGAAATTACAATTTAAATTTACTTAAAAATATCATATTGAGTGTACATGAAACTTGTAGAAATAACATAAAGCAATAGTTTGTTTTTTTCTGTTGTCTTATGATGGGATAACAGAGGGAAATGAGTAATTTTTAAATTATGTTGAATAAAATGTCATCTGGAACAGAAGTTAGCCTGCTCTAGAATGGTTATGATGTGGGAGGTTTTTTCTTTCATTTTTAGGGCTGACATTATCTTACAAATTTTCTCCCAGGGAGTTGGTTTTTCTAGCGCTTGTCTTTCTACCGAGTTGTTAACATTGAAACAGATTGAACACACATAGGTAGGAGATGAAAGGCACTTCAGTTCCTTTTATTTTTCCTAAAGAGTTTAGTCATAAAGCATTTTCCAAGTATGCCTAAGTAAGCTTCAATTCGAAATATTAGCCTAGGCCCAAATTGATGAAAACTAAAAAGAGCATGGATACAGCTGAATGTCCATTTCCAAACTCACTGTTTGGTCATAGTACTTAAGGAAACTCCAGTTCTGGTACCTTGGAATACAAGTGAAAAATGCAGAGTCAAAATTTCTGTCTTTAAATAAAATAGTGAATATTGGTCATAATTGAATGCCTGTTTAACTGCTCGATGTGATACTTACAGCCCAGCTCTTACACCTGCAAACTCCTTGTTTCAAACATGTCTTTTCTGTCGTGGAGCCCAGGGTTTTCTTTATTCCATACTACATGAGGAGTGGGTGGGTTTTTTGCTAAGGAAAAATGAGGATACTGTGTCCACAATGCATTCCTTGTGCAAATGCAAATAAATTACCCACATACTGTATCACTCTGGAAAATGTTTCTCCAATGCCTTGAGTAAGAAACAGGTTCTTATTTTTTAAATGACCAATACTTTGCTGCCAGAAGTCCCTGGTAGGAATTCCCAAACACCTATGGGAGTATTTTGTGCGGATAGGCAGCTGTACTAGGAGCAAATGGAGTCAGAAGTCAGAAGCAAATGCTCTTCAGTTCTATACCTGGTGTGGAACTACAGGGCAAGTCCTTTGATTTTCTGTCTTTTTTTCCCCGGCCTGAAATGGAGAAAGTGGCCGTTCACCTGCTATTGTAAGAGTACTTTGAGGTGAAGAGTGGAAACAGTTCTGTACAGCTATTTGCAGCAGGGCTCAAGGGACACCTGTGTTGTCTCTGAGCTAGTTACCTGTGCTGCATCTAAGCTCAATGAGCTAGTGCTGAAGGTGTACATCCTTCCTAGTTGAACTCATCTGTACAGCACAGCCACGTGGAGCATTGGATTTCTGTGCTGCACTCCCTCACCCAGTGCAGATATAGAATCATAGAATCATAGAATCGATTGGGTTGGAAAAGACCTCTGAGATCATCGAGTCCAACCCTTGGTCCAAATCCAGTCCATATGCCCCAAGTGCAAGTAAGAACGAATTTATGCTTGTTCTCTTTATCACTATATGTCTTGGTATACCACCACAGCATTGAGGTCCTAGAATTTTTTATCATGCTATGCAACCATGATTTGAATGTATCAGATTTGGGTGTTACTGAATGGTGCTAATTAGTGAGAAATGCCATAGTCTTAGACATTTACCTATATCTACTTCAAGTCAGACCACTTAACATGTTGCAGCCTTCCACCATCATTGGTTTTGGGATGGGAATGTGGAACTGAAGGACAGCTGTCTGCAGGCTATAGGGTCTGTAGTTTGATGAATCCAGCTTTAGGCACCTTGTTCTTCACAAGTCTGTCCTACTCTTTTGCAAGAGTTTCTGTCTTCATAGCTAAAATTGGAAAATTGCATCAGCTGTATGATGTGTTACCTTACTTATTCAGGAAAGTGAGTTTGTACCGATATCCATGACCATGAACCCCAGGGACAGGCACAGAGTCCCTCCTGCTGCCTTAGCTAAGGAGTGGGTATGGAACATGCTGGGCTTGTTGAGCAGGAGTCTGAGTTTACCAGCACAGCTGGGAGAGAATAACATTGGCACCATGGCCCTGGCTTTGCATGAATCAGAGTCCTGGCATCAGCCTGTCCCTCAGGTAAATGGAGCCAGACGAGAGTGCAAATGTGTCTGGGGAAATCAGAGCTGTGATCTGTATCTTCTCCAGAAGGCTGAGGAGTGCAAAAGTTTTCAGATGGTTTCTTTTCCCATTTTAAAAAATACTGAGAGTGATGTTCTTTTTCATCCCTTTAGCTTGGGTAGGACACAGTTGGAAATGGAGCTGATTTTAATTTTACCAAGGATATTCTTCTAATAGGCATACTCCTGCTGTGCAATGAAATATGAACTTAAACACTTATTCAAGATACGTGGCAGAGACAGAGAGGATCTTAATTTCGGGTTCCTTTGTGTCACTGGTCTATGTACAGTCAAAGCTTAGGTTGTATGTGTGCAGCTCAGTCTGCTGAAAGACTACAACAATGGGGCAAATTCAGTAGATTTACAGATTGGGGATACAAATCATATTTGGGCAGAACACTCTGTTCAGCTTCCATTTCAGCCATTTCCAAGAGTATGAGAAGAGGTGATAATACCAGTATGTCTGCAATAAATTATAAAGCTTGGCACTTTTATATCTTCTTTGTGGGAATCATTAAAAAGCTAAAAGATACTTAGCATGCAGTTCTTTGCATCTCTTTTCAGCTTAAGCTCAGCATGCCAGGAGATATTAGCACAGATTTTGTCCAGTGAAAGAAAACAGAGATAATGTAGCCCTCGAAAGGAAGGTATTAGGATCTGATCCAAAGTCCCTGCAGAAGAAAATTTCATTTGATAGTGTTGGCTTTGGATCAAGCCCTAATGCTGTCAGGGAGCATCTGTACCATTGTCAAGATGAGTAGAAGAGGCATGAACTGGAACAACTGATTTACCAGATTTGCCTTCCTCTCTGTTTGGCCTCAACAGACTCTTTCCAGATCTTATCCTGTTGGACCTGGTCTGGCTGCAGTGCTGCCTGCTCATCTGCCCAGGCCTGAGTAGCCGGTTGTGCGGTGGCAGGTCTGTTTGGTTGGGTGCTGCTGAGACACAGATGGAGCTGGGACTGGTTGCCCCAGGGGTGTGGTTGCTGGTTGCCAAGACCTAACCAAGGTATTTCTCCTAAATCCAGAACCCTTTCTCAACTTGTCCCTTTTGAGACTTACCATATGCCCAGCACCGTTTTGTATATTGTGACTGTTCAGAAAGTTAAACTTGCTCTTGTTCACCTCTTTCAAAGCCTCTTCTCTACTAACGTTTTCTTTCAGCTGCTGCTTTGGAGTGCTTTCAGAAAACAAATATGCACAGCAGCACTGACAGGCAGTGCTCAGAACTGGTTTACTTCCCTCTTATTTAATGTTTCTTTCCTACTGCTTTATGTTGCATCATTGCTTGAACACTTAGGGGGTTTTCATGGTAACAGCAATTTTGTAAGAAACTACTGTTACTGGAAGCTGTGGGATCTCCAGCTGTAACCAGCAAACTCTCAGCTTACAAGGTGATTACTGCTACTGTAGCTGAGATCAGCCTCTGTTCAAAATCCTTAGAACAATAAAGTCTGGTGTAGTAGCAAAGGGTGCAGAGGAGATTGCTGCTGAGTATGTCAGGAAGACTTTTGTTGTGGTTATGTAGCAGAGGCAAAAGCTTCTGAAAGTTGCTGGTTTCCCTGGCGTGTTTACTGTCTCTATTGGAAACAAGTCTAACTTGTGAATATACATCAGAAAAGGAGCAGAGACCCAGTGGAACAGCTGCTAGGGCCTTGAACTCTATTTGGGGCAGAGCTATTTGTTTAAAATAAAGTGTTTCAACGAATCTGTGCTGAAAGCTCCTTATTTTCAAATTAAAAAAAAGAGCAGTCAGAGATCATCAAAAGCCCTTTTTAAGCACTTATATATTTCTGCTGAAAGTATTAAGCAACTATGAGAAGCAATTTTTAAGTAACTTTAAAGGGTCATTAGTATACAAAGTGAGAATTTTCAAAACAGTATACAAAATGTCAGTGTTTGTCTTTACAGTCAGCCTGTTGGGCTTTTGTGGCATGAACTCACTTCCTCAAGTATTTGTGACCTTGCGGGAAAATAGAGCGTTTTAAGTATAAATTTCCTCTGAAATTCTTGGCTGACTTGTTTCTGAGTAGTGTGGCTTAGCTCCAGATGAATTCTAGTCTCTTGCTTCATCTTCCTTGTAAATGCTAATGAACTTTGAATCTGCTTCTTTAGGGTTTTTTGGACAAACTTATTTGCTTGCAGTATTGGGAAACATATACTGAATTTGGCAAATAATTTCTTTAAAAATAGTTACAACTATACAACAATCCAAGCACTTCATGAGACATGTTTGAGCAAGAAATACTTCTATATTTGGAAAAATTATTCACAATTTGAAGATTACAATAATATAACATAAGAAGAGGTAAACTCCACCACAAACCCCAATATTTACTTTGGGTTTGAATTAAATTTTAGTGGACTTTTTGTTTGTTTGCTGTTTTTTCTGAGATAATTGAAACCTCAATAGTGTTTTTCATCTCTTTCTGCCAAAAAGCAAAAAGTCATGTACCCCCATATCATTATCATGAACTGAAGAAATTAAGTGTTTGCTAGCCTGGCCTAATAGTTGTCTCTGTTCCTCTTGTGGAATCTGCTTATCCTGCTGCATTTGTTCCAGGGTCCTCTCCAAGTTGGAGTGCGTGCAGCTGGTTGGAGAATAGTGTTTTAGCAGCATGTTATTGCTTTAAAAGGAAACTGAGGTACGTTTGGAAGACCTGATGTGTTAATCAGTTTGCATGGGGTTTTATCTCCTGATCAGATCAGGAAAAGATCCCGATGGAAAGTCTGTTCCTGTGCATGGAATGCTCTTTAATTCTTCTGTACAAAGTTCCTGTGTTATTTTAATTCTGATCCTTCCTTCAAGTCAATTTCTGCAAATTAATCAGCAATAAGCTAAAAATGGTTGTTGAGCTGAGTACAGCCTCCAAATGCAGCCACTGGATGGAAAGATTGCAAGTAGGTGTTTAAGGTCTGTGCCATTGGGTGGTGGTTGCAAAGCTGCAGGAGTTGTAACTATCCTGGGTTTGATGCAGATGTGGGGCTGCAAAGTTTTTCTCAGAACATCTTACTGAAAGTCATTAAGGGAGTAGTTGTGCACCACCAACGTACATCAAGGTGAGTGCAAGGATGGCATTTCTGGGTGTTACTCTAGATTCCCTACTGTACATACTAGTATCCCATTTAGGCCATTTACTAGATTAATAGTTCAGCAGACATGCTGCAGTTACTGAACTGTTTCCCCTCTTTTTACCATCTGCCAGTTTAGCATTTTACTTGTTCATTTGAATTGGTACAACTGATTTACTGGGAACTTCTTTTCATCCCATAGTACAATAGGTTGATACTTATTGTGGCTTCATGCCATATGTATCTATGCAAATTGATTATGGCATCTTGATTTCTTTCTGGTTGGGGACGTGAAACTTGAAAAAAGTCATGAGTGTCACTTTTGAAGATGGTGCCTTTGCTTAGAAGTTTGTTTTGTATTAATTAATTTGACAAGCAGTGTCAGTGCCCATTATTCTGAGGAAGAACCTGACTGAGGTTAGTCTTTTGGTTTTTCCAGACAAGTGATGATATGCAGTACAAATTCATCTGTGAAAAATATGTGAGTAATTTCCTTTGAGTCAAAGGAAAAGATGTCTAGAGAGGCATTTTATGGAGGAAAAAGTTCAGATGTTTGGACAAAACATTTTTATTTGACCACAAGAGGGTATTGCAGTATCAGTTATGCAAGACTTGAGCTAATGTTTGCCTCTATGTGCACTGCCTTATTTTTAAAATGCATATTTCTCAAAATTGATCATTTATATTACACAGTAGTTAAGCAAATCAGGTTTTGTATGCCAGTATTTTACGTCCTTGTCCAAGGGCAACTTCTGAGCTGGTTTTTCCTAAAATGTGTGGTAACAAGTTTCTTGAAGCTTAAGAAGTTCTCACAGATTTCTTTGGAAGATAGAGACTTAGGAGATTATTCTGAAACACTGAAAAACTTCATGGAAATATCTTGATTAAATGCAAGAATATATCAGTCACAGAAGGGAAGTAACAACAGGAGATAAATGTGTTGCTGCTTTGGTTGTAAGTGCCTGTTGGTCCAGTATGGGAGCTGTCAAAGTCAGTGAGACTCTGATCTGATTTTTATATGTGGTCCTACTTGCAGGAATAAGTCTGAAATCTTTTTTAGCTCATTTGTGTTTCCCAGTTTTCTCACTTACACCTGATTCTTCTTCAGTATACACCCAATATTGATTTGCACTTATAAGTCAATACTGTGTTGGGATACTTTCCTACAAAATTGTGTATTCTAAACTCTAAGGACTGTGTTGCCAAATGCTGTGTTTTGCACAGTTCAGACAATGGAAGAGGGACCTAGAAGAATTTCTGGATTCACTTGCTCCTACATCTACTGCTGAATTTAGGAGAAGTTGCATGGTATGCCTGCCTGTCTCTCAACAAGCTCACCTGTAAAAGAAAAAGAACAGCCATATCACATTATCTGCAAAGAAAAACTTTCTGAGGGTTGTGATAGTGATTTGATAGACAACAAGGCAAATTTACGTATAAGAAAGTTTGTGAGATTTTGCAGAGATTTAAGAAACACACACGTTTAAAAACCTGTTTGCAATGCATATATCATCTGTAAATAAGAGGCAGGACCAAAAGCTGGAGGAGAGGGCAACTGTCTGGAGATCAGCTTTTCAAAGTAGGTCACAATTCAGAAGACCTCTGTCACTTCATGAATAAGATGGAGACCCCCATGGAAATCTTTCAGTACAAGCAGTGTTTCCTGCCTGCCTCAAATAGTGGCATTTGACTTGTCATCATAATCTTCCTCAAATGAATAAAGATCAGTCAAGTCAGTCAAGGTTTCAGACTGGAAGATGGGCCATGTTGATGGGTAGCAGAGCAGGGTGTTACATGGTCAGTCAGAGGACACTGAGCACCCAGCAGAGGGGTGATGTAGGGCTTCGGCCCTGGGCATTAACCACCGAGGGCCCTGGAAAGCCCAGAGGTGACAGGTCAAGCTGACAAGCCATGTCATGGTCTGGCAGGAGCAGAGTGGGTCACTGTATGCAGCCAAAACGAAAAAAGAAATCCAGCCAACTACCAGTTTGGAGTAAAACTCCTTTTGAGCAGTTATGTAGTTGATTAATTAAAGGCATCCTGTATCAAGTTTTGCTGTAGCTTTCTTAAAAAATATAAACTTACTTCTTGTCTTAACGGGGTTCTGCTGAGAGACCCTGGCAACTTGAGAGACCCTGGCAAGTTGAGTGTCTGTTGCATCGCAGCATACAAATACCACAGAGGGAATGTCTGCTTCCAGTGACACAGTCTGACACTTCAAAATAAAACCAAAGCTGTAGTACAGACTGTAAGAAATATGCTGTGATTTTTTCATACTCTCATGAATGTTGCAAAATATGTTAGCTACTGATACACAGTTTGTTTTATTTGAAACAAAAATTATTTATTTGAAGAAGAATAATTTACTTGAAAAAATATTAAACATCAGCTATTCCATAGAGTAGGTAGGCCTGTTACATTAGAGTCTACTCCTTAAACCTGCCAGCTGAGCAAGGTGATGGGATTTCAGGGAGGGAGTGCTGCAGGGCTGGTGTGTGAGTAGGGATGTTTGGAAGTATCTGGTTTGAGGAGAACTATAAATATATGAAGTGTTCTGAGCTGGCTGGGGAATGTTTTCAGGTGCTGTTTCACGTAGTTTCAGAGGCTAGATCTGTCAAGAAGTGCAATATTGCATGGACAACCAAAGTTGTCTTTGTTAGTCAGAGTTGAGCTCAAGTCACATCCTCACCACCGCAGGGAGCTCTGGTAACTGCATGGTGGAGCTTGGCTTTATTCTGTTCAGCCTCACTGTTTGCTTGCACAGTTCATTAACAGGTCTAAGAGAATTCCAGTGTATAAAGTGGTTAAGTACTTCTGCAAAATGGCCCTGCTTTATACTGCCTAAGTACCCAAGGCAGCGGTTTGGCCTCTGGAATCTGGCCGTGGCCCTGCTTCCTGCACTCCCGGGGTGTGTAGCTGTTCACAGTGTCAGCCCACAGCTCAGGGCAAGCTGCTGCACGAATAGGACAGAGGTTCAGTTTCCTCTCTCCGCTACCTGGGCCACTTTGGTACTTACAGAAGTATTTTGTCTTGTGAATTACAATATTCCAGCTTTGTATCACTACATATTTCAATGCTCAAGATGCTGTTCAGGTTATTTTTTTGCATCATTCTGTGGTTTTTACCTATCTCCTCTGGTAGCTAAGAGTCTGTTTGTTGATC